AAATAAATGAGAGACAGTACACAACTATTCCTAAATCTTATTCACAATTTTTAAGTCTTTAGTATATTTAGAATATTTATTTATATTTCAGATTCTTTTATTTATTTTCAATGTGATGACAGCTTTCCTGACAGAATCTTTGTTTCTGTTAAAATCAATCACATTTTTGAAGCAAAGATTAGTGTTGGAAAATCCATTGCAATAACCTGTTTCTGTCTTTTTTGATATTTCTGAATAAAATTACAGATATATGTTTAAATAGTATATTCTCATTTGACATTTATACAATTTTTAGTATTAAATGTCTTGAAAGAAAATGGTTTTAAATATTCTCATCTATTTACACAAAGAACAAATATTTTACAAAGCAAAATCATTTACCAACTTACTAATACTTATCCAAAAATAATTTTAAGCTACATACTCTGGTTCTGTTAGTGGTGTGGTTTCATTTGGCTCATTTACTGGGCTCCCATCTTCATGATTAGTAATTCTTTCATCCTCTGTTCTCATCTCCACTATTGGTTCTTTTGATCCATCTTTCCTAGAAAAAAAGAGAAAACAATCTGGCCTACATATTGTAAAAATGGATGAATTATGGATCAAGTTTAAATCTCCACCTAATTCTTTTTCAAACCCAAGAGAATCCAACACATTCAAATTAAAAATACAATCAATAGTTTTATTAATTTTCATTCAAATTAATATACCATATATCATCGTGCAGAGAAAAATAGAAGAAATTCCATTTCATCTGTATTTATTTTCCTCATTGAAATTGTATTCATATTATTATTCTAAACAAAGTTCATATTAGTTCATATTTTACAGTTCCTTTTGGAACATAAGTGGGAATTGCTTTATTAAAATTTCAACAAATTGCCAGCTTTCTGGTTAGCAGTCAAATGCCTTAGGCACTGTGCCACCAGAGCTCTTATTTTTTAACTAGCCATGTATTTTTAAAAATATAAATAAAAGCTTTATTTTAAATAACTCATCAACAATATTTCTTTTATTGTAATATTTGGAAGATAACATTTTATATATTATTATAAATATAATTGATAATTATAATA